GGGAAAAAAATGGCTTTTGAGCTGCTGCCTCAGCTCAGACCCAAATGTCAAAGCAACTAGTTTTGGATCTCCTCATTGGCACTCCCCCACGCAGCTCCTCTGTCCCCATCAGAGTCTCATCTGCTACTCCTGAAAGCTTTAGTACCTTATTCTGGCTCTAGTAACACTGGAAGAGATCCAGAACGATTCCAGTAGAGCTATTTTGGATTTGCGTTTGCAGGAGGAATTGTACCTAGAGGTTTTAAATTAATCGCACAGTCATTTTTCCTCTGTATATTTAACCACCAAAATTAATTCACATTTGAAAGTTTCACAAGCTGCTTCTTTCATTATCTCAGCTAGCTGTGGTTAAAGGCGGCATGGCAGGAGGGTGGCAGTCTGGCTGAAGTTGTACTGATAGGAAAAATGATGGGAATTCTTTCCAATGAATCCCAGGGGTTTGGGTGGTTGGATGGTGGGATGAAGGTGGAGGTAAGGATGCATAAGCTGCTATGGTATGTGTTGGCTATTGACTTTCCATGTAGTAAACAAAATTACCAGATGATTGTTAGCATGTGTTTTCTTCTGTTTGAAGAGAATATTTTACGCAGGACTGCGATTCATAGTACTGAACTGTAGGGGACTAATGTTCCTGTTCTCCAGCTGGGAGAAACTAATTCAACATCTTGTGTTGTAAACACTCACTCATTTTAACTGATTACACCTCCAATGTTCCTCAAATCACTAAAATTACTAATTGCTATTCCTTACACATCAGAGAGTGAATCCTGAATAATTAACCCCAAATAAAATTAGATGAATTGGCCCTTTTAATTAGAATCCCTGCTGCTGTTTGTTCTGAGCTTCCTTTTCTTACTGTTAAGAGACTTTTAGAATGATTAAAACTATTTAAGACTTAAACAGCCAGTGACCTTTTAATACAATATAAATCCATAAAAGCAATATTCCAGCTAGCAGGTGGTGAAGTAAATTTTCAGTGCAACTACCTGACAGACTCAGTATTCCTTTTTTAAATACTGAGTATGAAATTAGCCATTGTGGGGTTTTGTTTTGGTGGTTTGTTTTTTTCTCCCTCCTGCTTATTAATACAGTAGCTGATTAGCAAAAGTAGTTCAAATGGCAGGATTAGTGATTGGTAAGAGAGTAGTAATTTAAACAGTGCCTTGGGTTGGTGGAGCTGCTTCATTTTAGGAATCACAGGCCAACGCGGTATATTTAGGTAGATTGTGGAGCTGGTGTGTAGTCGTGTGATGGTTTGCCCCACGCTGGCATGGTGCCAGTGACCCCTCATGGCATGGTTTTGACCAGCGATGCACTGATATAAAACATGATTTTAATCATATGCTTTCGTTGTCCGGTGATGTGTGTTAAATACAGGAAAATACTCACTTTGGGAAACTTAGTAGGATGTGTGTTCACACCTAAGAGTCACCAAGTCTTCTCTAGCGGAAGGTTTCTATAAAAATTCTGTGGTGTCACTTTGGCAGTATGAAGTTTTCCAGACCACTTAGTAACATTGCAATATTTTGCAGCTTTTTGCAGTGGTTATTGAAGTATCCAGGCTCAGTCAAAAGGGTTTTAGCCTAGTGCTAAACAAATTAAGGTAAATCTTAGTTGTTTCAGTGTAGATCGCCCTCAAATTGCAAACTTTGACTTTCTGCAGTAGAAGGTAAATACTTGACTGGGCAATGGGAAATGTCTATATTGGCACAGTACTTTGCCAGACGAAGTCTGTTTGGACCAGAACGGAAACACATCAGGTGCTCCATCACTGTCCTTAGTCTAGTCTCTGAGCCCAGGGAGAGCTGTAATTTTCAGTTGATTCAAACTGATTCTGACCCATTTTCAGAGCTAGAAATTATCAAGATGATGATGAGAAAGGGTTATTTTTGTTTGGAAGGAGAAAAATTAAAACCATCTGGGCATATAGTCTTCAGATGTCTGCCAGTAATTTGGAAAGACCAGTGTGAACCCTGTTTTGTTGGTTGTTAGATTTCATTAAGTTATTGTTTCAGGGAAAAATATGGTGGTTTGCTTTTTTGTGTTTCCGAGGGCTTTTCCCCCAAACAGTCTTTTCTTACTGAACATGTGAGATTTTCTTCATGTCTAGAAGTTTCAAAGCTGCAAATCTTCATGTCTAAACAACTGTGTCAGTCAAGGGGGGAGGCAATTACTGTGCTGCAATTCATTTGTTGACTGGCAGATATATCTTCTTCAAAACAAAGGCTTGAGACACCAGCCTGATCCTGCAAAAAAACTGAAGTGCACTTAAAAATTTAAAGATTAGACTGTGAGAAACGTGCTTGTTGCATGAGACAGGATGTTTTTCTCAGCTTGTGCTTGTACCCAGAAGGCATCACGCAGCCAATAGCAAAAATATTATGAGTTTCTGTTCAGCCTGACAAGCTCATGCTGATGTAGATGTCTGCTAAGGCTTTGAAAAAAAATTTATTTGTACATTTGAAAAATGTAATAATTAAATTCCTAAATCTCTTTGGAAAGAGTAAGAGGGGGTAATTTGGGGAGGAGAGGGGTAAAACCTTGCAAATGCATCTGCATGGCACAGATGCGGTTGGAGCTAAAAATTGGGTTGGGGCTTGGGGGCACTGCTTCTGCTTACTGTTCTGCTGTAGTTTTCTGACATAGCCATGATAAAGTGGCTAAATTTCTATCTACTTGTATGTAAAATATGGGGGAAAACGTTACTGGGGTCATGGTGTCATCTCTCGTGGTTGCACTGACTGATGCTCCAGGACAGCAGTGGGCATGAGTGCTGAGAGATGAGTTCAGGGCTATGGTTTCCCAGCAAGTTGTGCCATCCTATCTAAAGTAACTCAGCTGGTGCATGTGTCGCACTGCGCAGTCCCTTTGAAGGTTGAGTCATGGTCTTCACAGCTGTAAGAAGAAAAAATGACTAGCTGGTGCAATGAGGAGATATTTAGCTCCTTTAAACGTATGGTTATGGGTAGTGATTTCTCATTGCAAGAGCTGAAGGCAGACTGTGCTGCGGTATGAGAAGGGGCACGATGCAGTTTCCTGCCTGTGAATGTGCCTGCTTGAGGCTGCCTCTGTGGGGATACTTGCTGTTGGAAGGTGATTTCACCTGCTTTGAGGTATAAATTGCCTTCTGGAGGTGCCTGATGTCTTTCTGTTGGTGGAGCTGAGTGTAGTCACTCTCATAACTTAAGTATCTCCAAGCGTTCGCCCTAATGCCAGATGAGTATCAACCAAAATGTCAGTCTTGGTGCTGATTAGAGATCAATACTAATAGGCCTTTTGCCCATCTTATCACTTATTCATGGAAGGCAGCAGAGTTAAATCAGTCAGGAGACTGTGAGCACTTAGGGTGTGGTGTGTCTTCCACCAACCCATGGTTAACTCTGGTAACCCCAGAGACCCATTTTCCTCATGGCCACTGGTGCATTCATGCAGACCAAAGGATGGTCCCTTCCCCAGATGCTTCCCCATGTAGCTGGCTGGCACTGGAGATGCTCAGCAGTGGATGGTATTGATACACTCCACCTTCACGAGGACTTTCCTGCCTCCTCCCACGGCTTGCCCAGCTCTAAGCAAGTGAAATCTGTCTGGCTTGCAAAGCTTTGGGGGTGAGTGAAGGTCCCTGAGGTGCATTTTAGGGAGATCCTGCTTGCTTTCAGCTTTTTATCCTCCTTTGCTCTCTCAAATGTCGATCTAAACCTGTACACTGCTCAGGACACAGATTTTACAGTCTTTGCCTGCTTTCCTCTCTGCTGGAAGAAGACTTCCAGCAATGCCAATAATAATAATCGAGTAACAGCTTTCCGTCCTGCATCCGAGGGAATAATCTCCCGTGAGTGCAGTGGGAACAGCATCAGGTCCTGTGGCTGTGTGTGGGAAAGAGGAAAGTGCAGTGGCAGAATAAATAACTAAAGCTGTGAAGGAGGAAAGTCCATCTGTTTGCAGAGGACCAGGAAAAGGCCAAACATCTGCAGGGTCCCCCCAGTTCATCAGGCATCTGCTCTCCGCTTCCCGATCTAAAAGCCTTCCCATTTGTGGGGAGAGTGGAGCCAACAGCTTATCTGACACAGAGGACAGAGTTAGCAGAGCTGGGCTGGGATGTGGTAAAGCCAGCTGTCTCCTACTGCAAAGAAAAGTATTTTCTTCCAAACACCAGAAAATGGCTCTTCTCTTTTTCTGTCCTTTGCTTCTTTCCTGAAAAATCTTGGCCAATGTTTTTTTTTCTTTTGGGAGGAACGGATCTTCCAGAGAGGCAAAGCGGTGTTTGTTTTGTTTGTTCTAGCAATCCTTGTTTTCCCCTTCTGTTACAGCAATTGCAACTTTTCCCCTCTGTTTATGTACAAGCCCTGTCCCTTTCCCTGTCTCATCCCCTTCAACACGTTTCTGTACCTTGATTTTGCTAAGGTATTCTGAAGGGTTGTAATAAAGCAGTAGTGCCTGACTAATGTGGTGTGCAGGGAGATGCATCACCTGTTTATTCTTTGGGAAGTATGTCTGCTGGAGTTGAATTCATTGCAAAATTGTGTTGGTTGGTTGGAGGGTCATTTTCACAGCAAAGGAGAAAAGTTTATGTTGCACTCAAACATCCTAGTATTTTTAGAACTAAACACCAAAGTATTTATTTCAGAAAATTTATTTTCTTTGTACTCTGTATTGTATTTCATCTGATTTGGATTCTAACAGGAAAGCTTTCCAGGGCTTCATACCCAACTGCTTCCCACAGCAAATAGCATGAAGGTGCCTTGTTGGCAGTAGGCACCATGTAGGTGTCTAGCTGGCACCTGTGCCTGGGCTGGGCTGAGCCAGGGGCTTTGAACCTGGGCACGGGTGGTCCAGAGGACTGCAGGTCACTGGGGTTTGGCTCAGCACTTCTCTGAACATGGTGGTGTTTGGGGACAGTGCTCAGGGCCTGTACGTGGAAGGCAGTGTGGCACTGCATGGAGATGTTCATCATGATGTGAGTTAAAACTGGTGAGTTGACATTCTCTCATTCTCTCTCTTAGGGGACTTCCTTCCTCCACCCCCACCTCCTGTGGATGACCTCGGGAACATCACATCATCACAAGGTGCCTTCCCTCCCCCACCCCCTCTGGATGATGTTACTTTCAATGTGCAGGTAAAAGAGCAAGAATTTTATTGTTTGTGCAGAACTGATCCAAAAATTGTGGAAATGAATGGATGATAATAAAATGAGGTGGCAAAGTGCTGTGGTTAGAAATCATGTGTCAGGAACAACCAAGTCAGCTTTAGCAAGCTGTGTTTCCCAACTAAGGAATATTTCCATTCAAAATTTACTGAGCTATTAAAGGATCTTTCCCATCCGGCTTGAATTAGAAGACTAATTGCCTTATGTCCTTGTGATGGTGGATGGGAGTGAAACCTTCCCAGAATGAATTATTTTCTGGAAGGGCCATCTCCTTCCATGGACTGTGGAGAGACTTTAGGGCAGTAATCTGATCCTAAAAGTGCTTTGTTTAGCTGCCTAAAATTAAGTGAAGCAAATAAGCCCTGGCCCAGGCTCTAGTGATGTCACCAAGACCCTTTTCACTCCCTTTTTGCTGGCTTGGATCCTCTAGATTTGCCATCTGAATGAAAGTGCAACTTTTAAGATGCATCAGGTGATGATGGCATGTTCTGTGTGGATAGGGACATACCTTGAACACCTTTAAAAGTTATGAACATCTTTATGCAGACGTCACTGGCTTGCCTGTAGTGCTGGGTACTGTTGAGTTAGTTCAGGCACATTCAGGAGAGATGTATTCAGACTGCAGGGACAGGCTGTCAAGGTGATCAAGGAGTGAGGAGCTTATTTTGCCAGTGGAGACCAGAAGAGTTTAGCTTGTTAGCTGAGCAAAAGGAAGGCTGAGAAGGGGACATGGATGCAAATTTGAAATACATCTGGGGAGTAAGTACCAGAGAAGAACAATTATCTCAGCTCTGTGTGAGTGTTGGTGCAGCAGCAGGAGAGTTTAAGCTTGCCAGGAGTACCTTCATACTGGTGTTTAGAAAGTTTCTAAGCACTGAGATTGCAAAGGTCTGTAAGAGTCTTCTGGGAGGAGTAGTGAGAGCAAAGCAAGTTTGATCTACTGTTGAGGCTGGTGAGAGTTGTTGTGTAACCACATACCCACAGCCATACGGCTGCCCTTGGTGACCCTGCAAGGCTGTGGCAGTCCTGTGTCCCTGGATGGATTTGAACCTGAGAATAGGCTAGTGAACAGACATTAAACAGGATTCAAGAGACCTGGCTTAGTTCTTGGCCCCATCATAAGGTCTAGAGTCAATTCATCAACATTGTGCCTCTATAGAATGAAAACATTTCCCTCCTTCATGGGCTTCTTGTGATCTCTTGCCTGTGGCAAGATGTTCAGATGCTGTCACAAAGTCTCAGCTGTTCCTGCAGTGGGCTCAGTGCTATAAGCAGCCTTTGAGAGGGAAGGGGTTAATGAGGATCATTCTCCCTTGCCAGGAAAGGCTGCAGCCGTCAGGGACATCAGCCAAGTGTGGAGCATGGCTTTTCCCAGCCTTGGGGAAATGAAGTAATTCTTCAGCAAGTGTTGTTCTGTCTTTTATCTCTCTGAGAAGAGTGGACCCTTTGGGAGCAAGGGAGCTTCAAGACTGCCCTGGGAAGCAGTGGAGCAGCAGGCTTCTGGCAAGGGCAGGGCGCAGCCTGCATGGCTCCCTGTGCAGAAGCCTGGGCAGCGGGAAGGGGTCATGGCACTTCACGGACTTCTCCCGGGTCAGGCTTCCCCCTTGCTGGATTGCCCAAGGAAGGGACCTCGCGGTGTTTATTGGAAGGGGCTCGTGTCTTCAGCTCCTCATGCCTCCCTCCTGCAGTGGGTCCAAAGATGTGCCTGAGACACTTGGGGCTGTCATTGGGATGTGCCTCATGGTAGAACCACTGTATAGGATGGCTCTTCGCCGTTGAGCTCATGAAATTGCTTTTTGTCACACCCTTTTTCTCTGGCTTTGGGAAGCTGGGGCTGGAGCTGTGTTCGCAGCATGGAGCTTTGGCAGGAGTTTGGGTAGAGAGAGATTCCTTCACATGGCAATGCTGTTCAGACGAAAGTGAGCCTGCCAGTTGTACCCCAGCACTCCTGCCTGTCACTATGCCCAGATGTACTCCCTGCAGCAAACACATTCCCTCCTTTAAGCTGTGCTCTCTTGTCACCTTTTTCCCTTTTCTTTTCCCTTCCATCCTCTGAAGGAGATCAGGAGTAGACAACAGCCAGGGCTAAGTCAGGAGTCAGCTGGGTCTCATGTTGCAAAATCAGCTCCTTATCTTGCAGGAGCAACAAAAGTCACAAAATAAAGGGCCCAAGACATAAGGGGAAAAGGCAGGTGGTGGTGGGGAAAGCTGCTTGATGTCTTTGTGCATCGAACACATCATTTTCACAACTCCAGACAGAGGTTCCCATGCTGAAGGAGCAGAATGAATGGTGGCTGTGTTTCTTCTGCTGTAAATCCTTTCCCAGCCCTTGGTTGCCTTGAAGGCAGAGATCTCATGAGCATGTGTTGGATCTGACTCCAACAAACTAAAGCCTTGCCTGATTCTGCTTTCCAATGCCAGGCCATTTAATTTACATGCCTCAGTTTCTCTGTTGCTAAATCTAAGTGCTAGAGGAGATGACCCCTCTCCTTGGCACGGACTGGATCTGAGGCTGCTGCCTGGAGCAGTTCTCCCCCTGCAGACCTGGGGCAAGTCCTCCAGATTTACTCCAGAGTTTGAAATTCATCTGCTCCAGAAAATCAGCCCTTTACAACAGAAATTTGTCTCTGTCTGGCAGAGTCCTAATGATACCTTATGCAATACCTGTGCTGTGGTTCCATGTAAAGCTTTTTATACTAGGTGTTGAGTTGGTAAGGGAAGCAGAATATATATGTTTAGTTTATTATCATTTTGTGCATTACTGTTAGCAGACAGCTAAAAACTGCACAGATTATTACAGTTTAAGTTGTAGCTTAAGAGCAGCAGTTAAAGTAATAATACCTAGTTTTCATAGACCTGTTTATTTCTTTAAATCTATTTGGACAGTGGAACTGGCCACTTAGGATCAGATCCAAAAAAGTACTTCGGTATCTGACTTCCCTTGAGGTGTTTATGCTCTGATGGAAATCAGAAGACTAGGTCGTGAAATACCTTTGCAGCAGATCTGGCAGTTTCTTGTGATTTCTGTTTTCCCATCAAGATCCATCATATTCTGATTCACTGCAGGGCTTGGGAGGAAAACAGAAGGAAATTTAAGCTCTTTTCTTATCAACTGCTTTAAAAAGAAAGAGAAAAGGAAATGTTTATTTTAAAAAAGAGTCCACTAGGTTTGGGGTAGAGTTGTGTTGGGAAGTTCTCTTCGGCTGAAGTCAGCAGGCGAAGGCAAGGGCTTGTTCCCAGAATGGTGGTGAGGGTGCGGTGATGGCGTGTTTGACAAATAAGGACATGAGCAAAGAGCCTTTTGCCACGTTGGCTTGGGCTCAGTTTAAAAGAGGAAAAAAAAAAAAAAGTCCTGGACGGGAAGAAAAATGAAATCACTGTTTGTCAAAGGGAAATAGACAGATCTGGGAGGGGGGCAGGGTTTATTATGTTTTTTTTTTTTACCTTCTAGTTTCAAAACAGGCATTCTGCCCAGGCCAGGAAAGGAAAAGTGAAAAATCTCTCATAAACAACCTCTTGAGTGCCCTGTTTGCTCGCAGAGAGGGACCCTTGCTCATGGCACTGGCAATTTCTTCCTTCCTTGCCAAGCAGGGTTGCTCAGGGATGAAGACTGTGCACAGTGGTGTGGAAAGCTGGTCCCTACCTCTCATCCCATCCCTGGGAAGGCTGCCTCTGGAGCCACGCCTCCTATGGGAGCATCTCAATAAGCCTTATCACCAGGGATTAGATGTCCCCTGGCTTTGAAACAACCAGTTCTCCTTAAAGGAGTGGTTCAGAGCCCAGGCTTTTATGTTGGTGCAGGACCTGGGTGGCTTGGAGCAGATGTAGCCAGCAGATATGATCCTCAGCTGCAGACCTGCCAAGGGCCACCTGGCAAAAATATGCATTTACTAATCACCTGTAACTATTGCTTCATCAGCAATAGGGGTCTGATTTTCATTTGGGACCCTAGATACTGCTGCAACACGGAAGGGAGAGGATTGTATTCAGCGAGGGGATCACTTCTTTCCCAGCAACCCCTGGCTGTTATCAGTGTGTTTTTTATTGACAGGCCACAAAACCCTTTACAAAAGAATTACCAGTCTCTCCTTGATAAGGAAGCTGAAGCAGAGAAAGCGCTTTGCCTAGGTCACCAGGCTGACAAGTGGTAGGTTAAAAATAGGACCTACATCTCCTGTGTCCCAGAGCAATTCTGTCTGCTACATTAAGAACTGTAAATGAATGAGAAAGAATTTGGGATATACCAAAGAGTATGTGCAGAAGTAGTTTAGGATGGGGGTTAGAGTGAAGAGACAATGGAAATTTTGAACATTTGCATGAAACGAAATATAAAAAAGTTCAGGATAACAGTTCTTGTTAGAGCCACCTATGCATAGAGGGGCTGCAGTACTGTGGGCAGGGTACTATTCCCGTGTTGAGACCTACTGGATTCACTGGTTGTATTGTCCTCTTGCAATATGCAGAAAATCAGCTGAAGGGCTCAAATTCCTGTTGCCAAGGAATTTTGGAAGTTGAAATGCTGAAACATGGCCTGAAGAAGTAATGCACCATTCTCTGCAAGGCTGTTCAAAGGAGACCTGGCTCACTTCTACCCAGTGTTCATGCCTGGGAGAAGGTGGGGACGTGTTGATAGATGCAAGCAGTGAGTGCCTCATCCTTGTTATGGAGGAGGTTGCCAGGCTCCCTCCTGGCGAGTGGCAGCGGTCGTGCCTCTCTGTGGGCTGTGACTCACCGCCTAAGGAAACAGCCAGAATGGAGGAGTTTAATTTCTTTTTATTTCTTTTTATTTTAAATTTTGGGTGTGCATATTGACAAATAGTTGGGGAGGAAAGAGATTGATTTTTGTCTACAGGGGTGCTGCCTTAAATAACACATCTGCTTCTCAACAGTATGGCAACTGGGGTCTGCCTTGGGTGCTAGGTTTCCTTTAAATTGCCTGCCTTTTCATGTTTGGAGAAGAAGAAAAGGCC